TTATAAAAACAAATACAAATAATTATTATAAAATATTAATATTCGTCTACACCGAGGGGGAAGGGGCTATTTGGAAATATGGAGGGACTTAGCCCCCCTAGTTATATCTATACCTATATAATTAATATGGAACATATATAGTAAATTATATGTTCAAGAATCCGATTTAGAACAGTTTTTGAACTTTACGGTCGCTTTATTCTATCTAGTCAAGATAGAATAAAGAAATGTTCACCGGATTATCGCCGTATAAACGCGACGATCGATATTTCTACATTATAATAATAGTCGGGAATCTATTTCGTACAATTGCGATATTTTTTTTTTCTTTCTTTCTTTCTTCCCGGACATGTATTATATTATTTCCGCCGCTGTGTACCGTATATACAAAGTTTCGGACCATCCCCGTACGGGTATAATTAAATATATATTTATATATGTATAGTAATCTATAGAACTAAACTGCATTCGTGTCTTATGAACCGGATAATACTTCGATTGGTATTCAAAACATTTGATATACCGCGACCATATACGATATTTGGGGCAACGCACTCGCGGTATTTCGATTGGCAATATAATATCGACTGCAATATACTTAAAAAAATAATAATAAAATCCGTGATCACAACAGAGCTCTATCACTATAGAGTAACATCCCCTCCCCTCTATTTTGTATTATTGACAAATTCTTTATAAACCAATAAATAACCGAATACATATAATAATACAATCATTTTTTTTCTTCTTCGTCTTTCATAGCTTTATATACTATTTTAGTCCGAACATTGAACACTTTTTCTCCCATTTATTTCTTACCAACGTAATTTATTTGTAGTTTCATATACTCCTAAGCGTTTCGAACTTTTTCAGTTTTCTCCAGTTACCATCGTTCTTTAGGTCTCTCTAGAAACTTTTTATCAGGATATTTCCAGTTTAGACTTGCGTATAATTGTTGCTATTGAATATTTGATCTGGATCTCTTAGATCCTGGTTATCGCAATTATATTTGGTTATTCTAAAATACTGTATATTTACAACTTTTAATATACAATTAATAAACTACTTACAAAATAGTGATGTTTGCAAATAAAACCGGTAGGTACGGGGGTTGAAAGTGGAAAGTGAAACCCCCAAAAGGCACATTTTATCGATAATTATACCACGAATATACAAAATTTCGCCTCCTGGCTTAATTTAAGAGGTGGATCTTAACACCTCAAGATTGCTGGATGTTTAAAGCTAAAAATACACTCTACTCTGGTAAAAAGCAATGCAATTTGTATTGAAATTCAACCCAAATTTTAAACCTAACCTCAATCCGCTTATAAAACGACTTAGTTCTCGTGTTTGAGTTAATTTATTCCTGATAGAGCCAATATAATAGAAAGGTCCAAAAGTAGCTGAAAAAAAATCAATTAACACAACAGGTGCAATACAATGCAATAGTCTCTATTTCAAGGAAAATTCGAGAAAAATGTAATTTCACTGCGGCGGTTATGTTTTCCTTTTCTTTCTCTTTTGTTTATTTGTTTATTTTTTTTTTTTAATAATTGCCTCGTGTTGTATGACGAAAAATGTTTAGTACATCCATAGAAGTGACAAACTTATTGTTGTTATTATTACTTTATAGTAAAAATGACACACTTTTTTATTAACAGTCCAACATAATTCAATTTTTTTTCGTTCGGGGAATCATTATTATTATTTTTTTCTAATTAGATACCTATTATTATTGTTGTTATTATTTCATTTTTATTTATTTTCGTTTAAAATATCGTTACAAGCCATAATAAACTAATTACAATTTTATAATTAAAAATATCTATATAGTATAAATATATATGGTACAAGTGGTATTGTAGAACTACTACGAAAAACTAATTTCGTAATTTGTCAACAGAGAGAATATTTTTCAAAATTACATCAATCGAGGCGTGTTGTATATATATATATATATAAGTTGAGTATTTGTGTGCTGTAAGTTTTCCCATCCTGCAACTATAATATATTGTTTTATATATCAGAGGTACTCCGAATCGAGGCTCGTTGTTGTCGCAATCTGACATTTCCCCGTTGGCAAATTAACGTATATATACTGTCGTCTTTTGTTACTTTATTAAGTTTTTATTATATACAGATACTCATGACTCGATGCTGCAGCAAAGCGCAAATGATATATACATTTATATATTATTTTTTTGTTCAAACGATAAACAATAGAAAAAGTTGGACGCTGATGAAATTTTAATACGCAATTGCGATCATAATTTGTCGTCGTCGTAACGATGATGGGCTCTTGTATTATATCGAAGTTGTAAACTCGAAAAAAACTTTACCATTATATAAAATGAACGTGATCATCGAGCCCTTCAGAAAGTTCTACCCAAAACTTATTTTAAGTCCGGATGATAGTAATTGTAACTATTGCGAAAGCAATTATCACACTATCGTATACACAGGATATAGTCTTTAGTTACTGTTGTGAAATCGTGAAAGCTATAGTAATACTACCGTTACATGAACACACATGCTTTATCGTTATATTTTACTGTAGTCGTATCGCACTTTCACAGACATTGTTTTCATTGAAATTCACTCAATGCAAAATATTTAGGTAATCGACGTAATTCGGCTTGGACAGCGCATATGAATGCAAACGAATGTAAATACATATTTTTATTTTACGGAGAGAAAACACAGTAACTGACAGTGATTGATATTATCAGATTACTTTGCTAATTATGTACAACTGATAATATAGCCATCAGAGATGTGGCCATTGCACCAGCATATTACAAATTTGCCATCATATGACCATCGGATAATCATAGTAACTATATGTCATCTTATGAATTAATCTTAGTATATTTCATAAATATTATATTATATTATTATTAAATTGGTAATTATGATTTTTAAATAATAAACAATTTTTTCAATTTTATAATGTATGTTACACTTATATTGTAATTACAGATTCCAAAGTTTTTTCTTTTACTGAAATTTCAATCTAACTATTGCATATCAATTACTTATAAAAAAAAAAAACATTGGATTTTACAAAATAAATAAACATAAAGCCTATATTTAAGCCAGTTCGGAGGACAAAACTGATTATATCTTTAAATATAATTATGTACTAGGAGAAAAGGTCATTGGCAAACGAAAATTTAGTGTGTAAAGAAAAATCGCATTAATAATTGAAAAAGATTACAAGATTTACAACCACATTTAGCGAGTGTACAGGGGGACTGTTGTTTTATTTATTTAGACTTAAATAGTAAGCATAAAAGTGTTTTTTAAAACTTACATTTTTGTTATCTTCGACGTAAAATATATGAAATAGAATTTGTATTAAACAGATTAAATATATGTATAATATATTCAAATAAAAATAATTTGTTATCGAGTTATCTGCACGGGTCGGGTAAAGACGTAGTTTCAAATGAAGTTTGTCAATATGTCATAAAAAAAAAAAATAAAAAAAAATGCCAACAAGAAATAAAAAAGACATTCTTATACAAAAAATCCTATATATTTTCTCCTCGATAAGAATCTATTCAAAAAAGAATACGTTTTGTAAAACACGAAAGACTCAAAGAATCCGGTCTCGCTTTGATATAATATTTTCGTGTAGGTTTATATATATACGTATATATGTGTGTGTGTATATACCTAGTCTGTATTTTTGTTACACATTCTATCAGATAAATTTATGAGCAAAGGGGAATAATATAATTTTCCAGTTAGAGATGAATATGATACGCGTCTTTTTCTGTATTACATTCCCTGCGATATTAGTTTAGACTTGCAGTTCGAATTTTCTGCCGATAGGAAAAGTGAAGTATTTGACAAAAAGCGTATTCTAGTTTACACAAATTCGTATTACTAATAAAATTTATTATTAGTACGTAGTATTGTTATTAGTAATATAAAATATATTGTTTTGTACTATTACCTACATACATTGAATATATACTTATAATATGTGATTCAAATATGTATTATCTATATTCTCTAACAAGCTAGGCTACACAATTTGTTTTAACTTGTCATTGTAAAACTAAGGAGGTATAATAATAAATAAAATGAAATAAGGGATTCATAAAATAACAAATGATAAGTATTCTAGCGAAACAACAATTTCTAACGAAACTGGGTAAAAATAAAAACAAATCAAAAGCTCTTCGCCCCCCGGAACTTTGTTTTGGCTAAGATATTGGACTGCAAAGTGACTTTCCAAAATTGGCATGAAAACCCATTTACAAATAAAATATTATTCGAAAACACCGTTTTAAGAAAGTTCTCACGTTTCAATATAATACAGTAATCCTCATCGAAATAAAATTTTAAACTTTTGTGTAACGGGATTCTAAGATGACAGGAAATATCCTCTAGTCTTTCAGAGTTCAAGATATTTTCACTGTATTTTGAATACCGCTATAAAAAAAAAAAAGTCGATATCGTTTACAGGTAGGCTACTGCTGTAAGTGTTTAGTTGGAAAGGTAGTATATAAAGAGTAATTTAGTTTATGATATACTGAAAGTAACGATGAACAACTATAAAAGGAAGACGATTATGAGTGGAGCAGTATATAAGTTGTGTTCCTTACCTTATTGCTAAAATAACAGATTAAACAAAAATAGGAGAATGAACTGTTAAAAATATCGATAAACATTTCGAATAAAGTACCACTGGCTTAAAATGCACGTACTTTTACAACATATTTACGTTAATACGTGAATAACACTAATAAAGACGTAAACACGACTAGTAAATTCACGCGTATTATATGCGCACGTGAATACTGCAATACACGATTTCACGTGCACTTAAAAAAAACATGCCCGCGTTTAATAATGAAACTCGTATATTATTTTGTGTATTTAATAATATAGGTGTACTAAACGTGTATTCAGGCACGGAAATGTTATTATCTTGCCAATAAGTATTATCAAAATTTAGAAATTTTTAATAAATTGGACAAATAATAATATGTCTAGATCCAGAATCCTGAGTGTATTATTATATATTATACACGTATGATTTGATGTATTTTTATAGCCAGATATTATAAAATACCCGGATAGGTTAATTATTCATTGCACAGGTTTTATAAACACACGAGTTAATCGCCGGCCATAACGATTACAAATGTTTCGTTCGCGTGGACTCCGTTATCACGTACTTATTAACTCATTTTTCAACCGAGATTCCTAATATTATTTCGGCTGTTGATAAAAAAATTTATAGGTCCTGGTTTAAACTCGGAATCTAGAAAAAAAAAAATTGCTATAATAATATCTAACATTATTGTGAATATTATTCGAAGCCCATCGAACTTTTACTAGACAAACGGAGACGGGTCGTACGGCCGCGGGTGATTCGGCCATTGTAATATACAGTTATATAGGTATACGTCATCATCGTAGTGAAAACCGAAAAATCCGACCCGAAAATAACCGTCTTTAGGTGCGGTTTTTATTGTCGTCTGATTAAGAAGCGCACTGGCGATGGCGGCGACGGCAGCGTCGGCAGATGATAAATGATTTATGGGCAACGCGCCGGGGTCGTAAACCGCAAGCGTTTATCAACCGTTTTGTTTTCAATTTTATGAACAGATTTAACAGTCACCTTTCGCGCGACGTGTATTTATATTTTACGCCCGTAATCCATTTCTCTTATTCTGTCAGGGGTTTCGCGTGTCGCGCGACACACGCGACTGCCAGGAACGAAAATGCGTGGCGAAATATTATCGCATCGCAGTTATCACGCGACGAGTATATTATATTATTTTATAGGTAATATAGGAATAAAACGGTTTTCCGATAGTTTTCTATGTAAGAGGATTGAATAGAGAATTAGTTTGTTTTTTTTTTTTTTCAATGTCTGTAAACGACTTTCTATCGGAAATCTCGCTCTGATCGAAAATTGTTAAGGAACTGAGCACTGGGAAACTATAATTTTTTGATTTCTCTTATAGTTTTTTTATTGAGAACTAGCTGTTCGTTTTTTTTTATGAAAGAAAAATATCTAAAGTTTTTATATCTGTAAATGTGCGTTATTTTATTCAGTTCAATCCTCTACAATGAATCAAAACTGTATTGAAAACCACAAAAAACCGGCAAAAAATTAAAGAATACCAACCAAAATTAAACCAGGTTCATCTAATAATATATGACTTATTATTATATTACTAATTATTGTTACTTTTACTTGTTTTTACAGTATTATGTATTTATACGAAATAATTAAAACATCAGATATTTAAAAAATTAAATAAATATTTTACTATAAAACATTTTGTTCTTAGCAGTTAATTTGTACTAAATTGTAAATTACATTTTTGTTGATTTCTAGATTACAACAAGGAAAAAATACGACTAAAAATATTCTGTTTAGAATAATTTTTTGTTAGCAACAATTTATTGTCTTGTAGACACATTAAATTACTTTGCTTATATCCTCGCTTCCAACATCATTTCTATATTAGTGGCACACCCATCAGCATTTTTCTATTTCAAACGAACGTGTTAAACAGTGGAAACATTTGGACCACATTTTACGTAACTATAAAGACTATTCTCTATAGTGAATAAACAAGATAATATAGTGATGTGGCATTTGTATATTTATTAGAGATAGATCGTTAAATATTGATAAGGCTAAGTAAATAAATTACTAATAATGGCATATAATGACATAATAATGACTATACAAAACTAAAAAAACTTGTAAAAGAATTTTTGAAAAAACGTATAAAATCTAGACACATAATTTTTTGACTTTTAGGCTTTTGTTTTATGGCATAGAAAATAAACAAAATTATTTTTTTTTTACATTTTAAATAAGTTTCTGATTATTTATCTTTATCTGGATAATTGATAGACAGTTTTTCCGAAAAGAAATTTATATGGGGCGATTCTTTAAAAAAGTCATTTTTTGGTTTTCATAATAAATCAGAAAAACCGAAAAAAATGTAGAATAAACGGGAAAATGTATGAAATGTATTATTTACAATTTGTAAATAATACAGCTTTAAAATATGTATACGTATAACCGAACTCCACTCAGAACCTTTTTTTGATGATTAATTATGATTAATGAATAATGATTAATTAAATTTCCTTTCTTCCTTCCCAAATTTACACCTACAATAGTGGCCCATCGTGCGAAATATGGCCGTTTGTTTCTATAAGTATTGTGTTTTTTCGTCTATAGTAAATTGTTCTATACTATTTTTCAAATGAGAACGCATCAATTTGCTCAACGTTACCGGCAGCGGAACACGTATGAACGGCCGTTAAATTTTGCTTAATACAACTTACTTCGTATAATTGGTACGAAAGATGGTACGATTAAAACTGCAAAAAATGGGACACACATGCGCGAGTTTTTAATTGTTTTTGTCTGCCACCTAGTTCGTTCTCATTTGAAAAAATATTATAGCAATTATAAGATAGAAATAGAGATATTATATATTTTCTTTATCTATAATTTATTATAAAACTTGTCTTTATATAAACCTGTCGGTTATCCCGTCAAGTCACCGTGAAGTCATTTTTAGCTCATAGTTAAATTTTGTACACGATATTAAATTAGGTTTTATTCCAGTTTTAAATATTTATTACTTGTTTTCACTGAAAATGGCAACTTGGTATCTAATGAGTTGGCTTGCATTAATTATTATTTTTTTTAATATTGATAATTTATTTTAAAATTCGACCGTCGAAGAACACCGGTACATACACAAATTATTTATTTATATTATTATAAGAATATGGGAAAAGTCATCATTATTATTATTATCGATAGATATTAAAACAAGAAAAAAACGCGAAAATATGTACAATTCGAAATATGTATCGTCTGTATGTTAACATATTTAGGACATCAAACGATTTTCGTTTATAGTAACAATAGCTAAAAAGAATCATATTATTTTTTGTTCACCCTACAAAAAGTTTCCATATACAGGCGAAACACGACAAAATGAAAATTATTTCAAATATATATCATAACACGTGTATATCAAATAGATATTTAAATGTTCCATTATTTTACCATGTATTTCATATAATAATATATTGTTGGTCTTTGATAACTATTCAATTTTGTGGCATTCGACTGGGAAAATTCGCGTAAAAAACCATAATATTCAGCGTGTGGAAGTATGATAACAATAGTAATAATAATACGATAATATAATTATAATATATATCAACATTCGAGAAAATAATCATTAATTAATTGTATATATGTATAATAAAATTAATCTGAATAAAACGACATTACGATAGATGTAGGAACGTATTTAGTAAGGGGGGAAGCAGCCACATTTTAAGGGGGCTTGTAAATTAATTAGACATCGTAAAGTGATAATTTTACAAATAACTATTTGTTAGTTATTATTATGAAAGAATATATTTTATCATAATTATGGTATGACCTATAACATTCTTTTAATATCAACTCTGTCCCATTGTTGACACTCACAATTAGACGTGCTTAAAACGGTGTGTTTTAGAACACAGAGTGTACAACTCGAAATTAGTACAGTGTGTTGTTCTTATATGAAAAGGCACTAAAGGATCAGTGGCTTAGGGTGTCGAAAATTAAAATATACGTCATTGGATTGAGGTTAAAAACAGGTTTGAATAATATATACAAATATTATATAAAATTATACTTTATCAAAATAATTAAAGTAGGAACCAACTCTCAAGTCCCATTACAATGACAGAAAATGACACATTTTTCATTCTAAACCCGCTAGAAATTTAAAATATAATACAAATCATTAACATTTATTTATTCTTTTTAATTATTTAACAGGGGCCACTTCGCTTTTTACATTACGTGTGGGGAACGGTTAGGTATATTTAATATCATTGAATATTATAAACTCGTGAAATTACGTTTCAAGTGTATGTTAAAGAGAATATTAAATGTCATTGCAAAAACCGTACAATGATATCATCGTAAAAAATGTATTGTTGTTTTTGGTATTTTTTATACGGTGCTTCTTGTTTTTTATACGCGTGTAAATCTAAGTATACAGACACCCAAAGGTTAAATATTACCGTGGGTAGGCCAAAACAAATATGATGGGTACAAAAATTAAGAGAGAATCTAATAGAAATTGCAGAAGTATAAAACTACATAGATTCGTTATCTGTGATCATTATGCCGATTGCGATATTTGGCTTCAATAGTCATTAAAAGAAGAAGAAAAAGAAAAAATAACCGAACGACATGTTCTATAAATATTTCGGGTACGTGTTTAATATTACAATTTTATAGCAATATTATATACGATCGAAATATAATGTGATATATTTACCGAAGATGCGAGAAGATTTTAAATTCAATATAATATATGGAAGCTTTATACTATTATACATCGCATTATAGTACGTTTTAGTAGGGTTTTCAAATAAAGTCGGGCAATAGATCATGATGATTATATATTATTATTTCTATAAAACACTGCGGCAGTGATATGCGCAGGTATACAATTTTAAAGCCGAGATTTTTGCCGGGGACTATATTATACGTGATACGAATTTAATAACGCATGTGCAGGGAAAAAAAAGTAAGAAAAAAAATATTATAGGCCCTTTTCGACCTCGGCCAAAACGGCAGGGCGGCTGCAGTGGCAGTGGTGAAAACGTCCGTGAAAAATGATTTCTGTACGTTATATATTATTTTGGACACGCCTAACCCTCGGACACAGATAAAATATTACTGTCATCTCGTGACCACCGCGATCCGGACAAAAAAAAAAAAAACCCATCAATCGCAATATAACACTCCACGGACTTAACGAATTATTATTGCACGGGAGTATACGCAGTTCTGGGAGTATATCAAATATAATATATACAAATCACAGTATAATAACCGCCGTGACTAAATAATGTGCAGGCATGCCAGAAGAATTAGTTTGTACATATGAAGCATGTTTCAATTTTGGAATACATGATGATACCATAGAAAATAAATGATTTTATTAAAGTGGGTTCGCTTTTACCGTGGTTATTTACGACAGCCCCACGGAATAAGATAGTTTGAACCGGACGTGACAAGAGTGGCAGTGCACGGTTATTGTACTGTTTCTTCCAAGACTTGAATACGTTTGCGGTGATAGGGACATGACGGTTAATTTGGCCATTATATAATAACGATGGGAACATTTTGTAGGGCCCTCGTCAT